GACTAGTAGTAGATCTAGCAGGTATAAACTTGCATTTAGGATATAGTAAACCCTAGAACATAAACTAAAACTAAGAGAGATATAGAGAAAGAGAGGATGAGAGTGGGGAGGCATTACCGGCCATCGGCAGGCTTGGCAGAGGAGCTGGCCATGGTGTCGATGTAGGGCAGCAGTGGAGTCCGACGGTGGCATCGAAGGCGCAGTGGAGGCGCGGTCTAGTGGCGGTGGCGAAAGCAGTGGCGCTTCCTGTTGCTCACAGCGCCCCTGTAGATCGGCTTAGGGTTTGTAGGTGGGGATTGTGGCAGCGGCAGTGAACTTCATACCTAGTGCCCCGGCCCCCACCTCCTTTTTATGGCGTTGGGCGACGGGGGCCCACCAACCATTGATTCGGTTGGGCGCCCCCGATCAGGGTGCGGGATAAGGCCCGACTCGATCGTTGGACCAAGTCAGAGGAGATTAACCTAATAGTAATGTGTTGATGTACCCAGCTATCATATAATATAATTCTTCTTTCGTCGCAAAAAAACATTGTTCTTTGTCCTTATTTATGAGGGCCTATGTGGGGCCCACTATCCTTGTACTTCAAGCGCGGGTTGTGGAGATCACGTGTTTCGTCGCAAAAAAACATTGTTCTTTGTCCTTATTTATGAGGGCCTATGGGGGGCCCACTATCCTTGTACTTCAAGCGCGGGTTGTGGAGATCACGTGCCTCCATCCCCAACGATTGTCGGCGGGAGTTGTAAAATGACAATGATGGCATGTCCTTTGCCACCATTCAGGGGCGTTTAAATCCAGGGACTAAAGTTTAGAGTGTCATATGGGGTGTCACATCGAGTGTTTAGATAGTAATAAAAAACAAATTATAGAAGTCCTCATTAATATTCGAGATGAATTTATTAAGCCTAATTAATCCGCCATTAACACATGTTACTGTAGCACCACATTGTCAAATCATAGACTAATCAGGCTTAAAAAATTCATCTCGCAAATTAATCTCGATCTATGCATTTAGTTTCGTAATTAGTCTACATTTAATACTCTATGCATGCGTCTAAATATTCGATGTGATAGAGCTGAACTTTTGCCCGAGGAAAACAAACAGGGCCCTAGTACGCGAGTGTCTTGTGGAGGGCGTACCTCCTCCTATGCATTAAGCATGGGTAGGCATATTCGGCACCGGTGATGTTCAAACTGTTCGGGAGGAAAACAAATCGTGGATTATTTACTGCTGGCTGGTTTGGTGTGAGAGAAAAACACTGCTCCCGGCTGGAAATTTACGATCGTTTACGGCTGGCACCAGTGATGTCATGTCCTGGTACGGGAGCGCTTTAACCCTTCGGGAGGAAGGCAGACTAGGGGAGGTCAAATTCCTAGGATGCGCTCGGGCACCCTCTTACAAGGAGAAGGTTGGCCCTTTTTGGTGATGGGACCATAGTGGGTCCCATGACCGAGCTGTATTGTGGAGCCTCGATAGCCTAGGCGGGGTCTCTGTAGTCGGGCCGAGTTTCCCCCTTGCCGAGCTCTTTGTGGAGCTCTTCGCGCCTGTGGAGCTTCAGCGAGCGTGGCTATCTCCGATAGCCGCAAAATAGATATTTAACATGCGAGCCTAGCCTCCAACAGAGTATCTATATGAAAGATCTATTTTGGGTATTAGAAGATATATAAACCAAATTTGAGTATTTTCTCTCCTGGAGACCCATTTACAGAAAAAAGTTCTCTTTTAGGTCTTGTTGTTGAAGAAGACCAAAAATACATATTGAACTCTTTGCCTGTAGCACTACCCAAACGTAGAATATGTCTTGTATTTTGGGTAATGGTTGTTGGAAACAGTCTTAGAATTATTTATGGATATATGTACGAATACCCAGGGTGGGGGTACCCCTGCATAGGTATTCGTCAATAGACCTTCTGTGATGCATACACTACCGGAATCCTCAAATTTGTCGAGTGTTTTTATGTTTGCCGAGTGTATTTCCACGGGCACTCGGCAAACCAGTTCTTTGCCGAGTGCTGAGATAAAAACCCTCGGCAAAAAAAACCCTCGACAAACAAGGGGTTTGCCGAGTGCTTTTTTTTGCACTCGGCAAAGAAATAAAAAAAAATCTAGAAAAGAAGGGGAAGGGAAAAAATGAGGAAAAAACTTTGCTGAGTGTCCAGATCCAGGACACTTGGCAAAGGCCCAGGCACCCACGCCCTAAAATCACACACCCGCGGCCGCCCTCTCCCTATTGCCCCCGCTCACACGCACGCCCTCTCCCTGCCCCCGCTCCCTCTCACTGCCTCCCACCGCCGCCGGCCCTGGCCCCTCCCCTCCTTGCCCCACGCCGCCCTGGATCTGCCGCCTACCTCCTCTCGTCGGCGCCGCCCCGGATCCACCGGGCCTCCTCCTATCCGGGGGGCCTGCCCCTCCTTCCCTCCTCTCCTCCCCACGACGCCGGCCCTGCCCCCCCTCCTGCCTGCCTTGCCGCCCGAATCCGCCGCCTCCCTCCAATCGTGGCGCCGCCCCGGATCCGCCTCCCTCCTCTCAGGCGCCCTCTCCACCTCCCTTCGTGGCGCCAAGCCCTCCTCCTCTCAGGGCTAGTGCGTGAGGTGCGCTGAAGCTTGAGGAGGAGGCCAGTGTGGCGAGGAAGGGGTTAAGCGGCGAGAGGAGGAGAAGATGGTCTTGACACGGGCCGGAGCGGAGTCTTGTGAGCAGTGGGTGAGGAGGAGCGCGACGAGGTGGTGGATCTGGGCGCTGGTGTTGGCGGCGGGCGTGGTGGGTGGCGGCCGATGGTGGTGTGTGATGGTGGCAATTTGTTTTTTTTTATTTTTTGTGGAAAATGTTTGCCGAGTGTTTTCTGGTTGCCGAGTGCCTGACGAAAAACACTCGGCAAAGTTAGTTTGCCATTAAAAGTTTTGCTATGTGCCCTTTGCCATTTTAGTGGCTTTGCCGTGTGCCCTGGGCACACGGCAAAGCTCCCGTTCCCGATAGTGATAATGCATGTCTTCTTATATTTTGTCCATCTTTTTCTTTGTGTTTGGGGGGGCTTCTTTGTCTGTTAATTCCCCATCTGCTAAATTTGTCTGAAATATAATATACAGTTCAATCTATATACATGCTTGCCTCTCATAAGCTGCTCTTTTGATTTTACATGTTGAGTATTATTCGTCTGAGTGTAAGCCATGTTAGAGAATCGGTATAGAAATGGATTTCCCTTTGCTTTTCTAAATGGTTGTGCCTTTATACCGACCTGGGCCTTGTTCGGCTTGCTGAAACTTGGTTGAATTGGCTGAAAAATATTGTTTTGACTAAATTGTTGTAAGAGAAAATACTGTTTCGGTTGAAAAAATAAGTTGAATAGTACGGATTATAAAGTAAGCCGAACGGGGCCCAAATCAGTAACTCATGGAGCATGGCCGATGGGGGTATTGTGGTAATCATTTACATTCGTCAGTACGGCGGAGTTCACTTTCTGGCCCCAGTGGTAATCTGATGTGTACAGAGGTGGACAAGCGCATGCTAGCTATCGATGTTACTCGTGATTGGTCCCTCGAGCGCTTCAAAGATAAGGTTGCCAAGGTGTTGGAGACCATCAAGATGAGGTGTCCAGGATGTTGGCTATGTTGGTACGTGAACTATATATATTAATGTGACATATATCTGTATGTTGGCATGATATCTCATGGTTGTCCCTAATGGTTTGATGATTACATGCAAATTGTGTGATAATAAATTGTGTTTGTATGGATTTTGGTATAATGCTGTCCAAATTTACAAAATTAAAATTGTACCTAATTTTGTTGCTAAGATCGCTCCTAAATGTGTCGAAACTTTGATCTTGAAATAGGGGTAAAATCACATAAACATCTAATAAAGCAGGCGTAAAATAACATAGACAAACTTGTCTTTTTTGTCTAAAAATTAACAATAAGAGGACTTTACAGAATAGGAGCAAATGCTTCCTTGAGCTTTGAAACATAGCGGTAAAATCATAAAGTTTAGAAAATGAGGGTAAAATTACCATTTACCTTTAAAATAAGGGCATGAACCAAAACCCCTTATAAATAATGCTATGTATCAGCGGCAGCTGTTAGTTATCTTCGTCCTCGCGCTCCCTTTTTCCTCACGCCCCACACGCGCCTTCTTCCTCCTCACGCCCAACCCTGCCTGCCTTGCCGGCGGTCGCGCCCTCCTCCTCATCCTCTCCCGCTGCGAAGTGCTAGGGTTTTGCCGGAGCTCTCGGCCACGGAGCTCTGACAAGACCCTAGCGCACCTGCGGTGGTCGCCTTCTTCCCCTCCCCATCCTTCCACGGCCAGCTCTGGCCATGGACGCCCCCACCCCGAATTGGCCCGACTGTCTCCGCTGCCGCTAAGGCCCTGTTCGCTTGCCTTATAATCTGTACTTTTCAGCTTATTTTTTTAACCGAAACAGTGTTTTTCTCTCACAACAAATCAGTCGGAACCGTGTTTTGGTTTGTTTTTTTCGGCGAAGCCAACCGGGCCTAAGCTGCCCGAGTAAAGATGAAAAAGTGTGGAACGCAAAACGCTGAATAAGTCCAACATCATCCGCAGAGTAGTGGGCCAATCACGTCACGTGCCTAGCGTCCTTTCGCTTCGTGTACCAAGTCGTCCGACCGGGATAGCAGGAGGAGGTGTCCAATGGGGGCGGCCGGTGCCTGTGCCTGTGCGCAGCAGCACATTACGATCACGAGTGTGGAGTTCAAATCGACGAGTGGGACTGAACAACAAGCCCGACAAACTAGCCACGAACGCAATCTGTCCAACCATACTCCTATGTCACCTTTTCTCTTGGGGATTGAATTATCTTCGGTTTCATGAAACTAAATAAAATGAAATACTATGTACGGAGAGAGTACAGTACTAGTACTGGTAGAAGCAGCTTGCACACGTACCCTTTCTTGCTGCGCGCTAGCTAGCTCAGTAGCTCCACTGCACTCCACTCCCACTACCCACCGCTCAAGCCCCGTCACCCGGCCGTCTCCCCTCCCCGGATTCGGCGATGGAGAAGATGCTCCACGCAGCCCCCGTCCACGCGACGCTCCCGGAGTGCTTCATCTTCCCGGCCGACAAGCTGCCGCAGGCGAAGGCGACCTCCGGCGCGGTCTCCCTGCCCATCATCGACTTGTCCCTGGGCCGCGACGAGGTCCGGCGCGCCATCCTCGACGCCGGCAAGGAGATCGGCTTCTTCCAGGCATGTATAGTACTCCGTATAGTCCGGCAGATCCTTTACTAGCTACCCTAGTGTGTTTATTTCCCTCCTTTAATTAAGCTCGTGGTCGTGGGTGCACCGGCCGGTACGTCGTGCGTGCAGGTGGTGAACCACGGCGTGTCCCTGGAGGCGATGCGGGACATGGAGGCGGTGTGCCAGGAGTTCTTCGCGCTCCCGCAGGAGGACAAGGCCGGGCTCTACTCCGAGGACGCCGGGAAGGCCACCCGGATCTACTCCAGCACCATGTTCGACACGGGGGCCGAGAAGTACTGGCGCGACTGCCTCCGCCTCGCCTGCTCCTTCCCCGACGTCGGCGACAGCCCCAGCGGCTGGCCAGACAAGCCGGCGAGGCTGCGGGAGGTCGTGGAGAGGTTCACGGTGCAGACGAGGGGGTTGGGGATGCAGATCCTAAGGCTGCTCTGCGAGGGCCTCGGCCTCCGCCCGGACTACCTGGAGGGGGACATCAGCGGCGGCGACGTCGTGCTCCACGTCAACCACTACCCGCCGTGCCCCGACCCGACCGCCACGCTCGGCCTGCCGCCGCACTGCGACCGCAACCTCCTCACCTTGCTCGTCCCCAGCATGGTCCGTGGCCTCGAGGTCGCCTACAAGGGCGACTGGATCAAGGTGGACCCCGTGCCCGGCGCCTTCGTCGTCAACTTCGGATGCCAACTTGAGGTCTCATGCTTGTTTATTTAATTTAATTTCTAGTGGGTATTGCTTTATGATTCCGATTCCGATCCAGATTTTTTACTTTTGATTCTGACGCACGCATCCATGCATGCAGGTTGTGACGAATGGGGTGCTGAAGAGCATCGAGCACCGGGTGATGACCAACCTGGGGGTGGCGCGGACGACGGTGGCCACGTTCATCATGCCCACCACGGACTGCCTCATCGGCCCCGCCGCCGAGTTCCTCAGCGACGACAACCCGCCGGCCTACCGCACGCTCACGTTCGGCGAGTTCAAGCGCATCTACAGCGTCGTCAAGCTGGGGTCGTCGCTCAACCTCACCACGAATCTCAAGGACGTGCAGAAGGAGCTCTGATCATCGAAAGTAGGAGTATATGTGCAACCAATAAAAGTCCCTTATTAGTCCTGATCGATCACATGCAGCTAGCTTAGCTGGGAAGATATATGTATTGTAGCCTGTGTTATGTTCACTACTAGCCGGACGTCATGTTGATGATATGAAGCAATAAATAAAAATGACAAATTAAATATGTGTGTGTATGGCGCATACATATTCTTCCAGAAGTATTAAACCTTTAATACCCACTAATATTCATTGGTAGTACATATAGATGATACAAAATGGTTGGCAATAAATTCTTTACCAACAGTAATATCAAAGTTACAATTTTCAACTAGAAAATATCTCAGCCAAAATGACCAGACCAACCGTGTCCAGCACCTCCACGCACACACAAAAAGTGGAACTGAAAAGACGACAATCAACTGTCCTTGTGCTATCACTTTGCTCGGTGGAGGAATGGTCCTGCTGTCAACAGATCTCACACTATCAACTGAAAAGGACCAAACGCAGATCCATCCTAGTCTTAGCTAGCTCGGCCATCACGACTCCTGCGTTATCTCGGGTGGAGGAAGAGAAACGGTATTTGCAGTAGTGCTAGGTATAGATGGCCAACGGGCCAGCCCGGGCTGGCACGGCATGGGCCCGTGCCAGGCACGGCCTGATGGGGTCGGGCCGACATGGCACGTCGTGCCTCCCGGGCCGTGCTGAACCGGGCTTCGTGCCTGGCTGACGGCCTAGGCACGGGCTGTCGGGCCGCTTTTCGTGCTGGCCCGGCCCGGAAAGTACGCCACAAAACGGGCCGGGCCAGCCCGAACTGACTGTCGAGAGGGAGACGGACGGGGAGGCAGGGGAGGTGGCGGCGACCGCCGGCTTGCAGAGGAGATTGACGCCGGATTCGGACGCGACGTGGAGAAAGCCGGCTCGCTCGCCGCCGAGGAGCTCGACACCGGATCCGGAGGAGGAAGGGAGATGCTCGAGGTCGGCCACCGCGCTCAACGCCGTCGCACTCGAAGCCGGTGTTCTGTCGTAGCCGTTGGAACTGGAAGTCGACGCGCAGCGTCTGTTGCACGAGGGACCGAGGAAGGTGGTGGCGAGGCGGGGCGGGGCGGTGGTGGTAGGGCCGCGACCATGAAAGCGAGGCGAGCGAAGTCGCGACTTCACGAGCATGGCCATGAGCGGCAGAGAGGAGTCTGGTGGTGGGGTCGTGGGGAGGGGAAATGAGTGCGGCTGGGGTTAGGGAATAGGGTGCCAGACTGCCAGGATGGGCTCTTAGCAGGCCGTGAGGGGAAGGTCGGGCCGCTATCGGCCTGCCTTTGTAGGCCAGGCCATGCCGGGCTGGCACGTCGTGTTTGGGGTAAGGCCTAGGCACGGCACTGTTACCCAGTTGTGCCAGCCCCGGCCCAGACGCCACCAAACCGAAGCCATGCTCGTGTTGGGGCTAAATTTGCGGGCTTTGTGCTGGGCCGTCGTGCCGCGGGCTGTATGGACATTTATAGTGCTAGGTACATGTCACGGACAAGGCTTGCGTGACGTCACCATCTTCAAGTGGTTAATGAACTCTTGATTGTGTTCTTGCCGAGTCATGTGTGCGGTGTCTTTGGGCTCATGAGCCAAAGAAGTCTAGCCCAAGCGGTCTGTAATGCTGAACCCACCTCGGAGTATAAGAGGGGGATAACGGCATATATTGTCGAAAGGAATAACATAACTTGAGGCTCAAAAAAACATAACTTGAATTTTGAATTTTCCCCCAAACTTTCTCTGTTCTTTCCGAACCCCCTGTTCTTCTTCCTTCTCCATTATTTATCCATTTTTTCTCATTTCTGACTCGTGAGATGTGTGAACATAACAATTGGTATCGAGAGACAGCTATCCCTGAAGAGATTTTTCCCTATATTGCGTGTGTATTCGGCCTGGCGCCGAAGAAGAGAGCTCCCTCACTGCAGGCAAAGATGGAGAGCAACATCGACGATCTCAAGGAGCAGTTCAAGGGCTTCGATCTCATGATGAACAAATGTTGGACAAGATGTCCAGCTTTGAGGTGTGGAGGACCACCATCGACACGTCCCCAGGGTCGCTGCTCACCAAGACAACCGAGGGCATTGCGCGGATCAACCATGTTTAAAAGGCGCCGACTCTGCCACCTCCACCGTCGCCACTGCCACCAGCTCTGCCTCCATCTATTGGCTGGCTTGGGGGTGTACACCTCAACTTTGCTCCGATATCTGGAGGGCGCCCATCAACTTCTCCCGAGGAGGCCCAGTGGGCACGGTGCGGGTGGAGAAGGGATCCTCAGACCCCCTCCGCCGATTTCACACCAGGGTATGCATCTTTTTTTACGGCAAAAACCGTGGGGGAGATCCCCACAGTGTCAAAGAACTTTTTATAAAATTAAAGGACTCCAAGATACTTACAAAGGGAATTAACTAAGAGCATCTAACCAAAAGCAAAAGGCCGACCTAAGGTTAGCCTTGAATCTAACAGACTAGAGAAAACATTGATTTTTGAAATTACAAAGCCATCTAGCTTGACACGGCTCCCTTCTTTCAAACACCTTGTCATTACGCATTTTCCAAATTTCCCATGTAGCAATCAATGAAGCTTCAGTAAAGAAAATGTGTCCGTGGGACTGTCTAGCTTGAATGAACCGATCCTGTAGGTTGATTGAGTGATCCCAGACAAAGTTGATTGAGGCCCAACATTGGCTTGCAAAAGGGCATGTGAAAAAGAGATGCTCAATGGTTTCCTCTTCCCTTGTCTCACACATGACACAAAAATCATCATCATGAACGTGGAGGTGCCTTCTTGTTAACATTGTCTTGGTATTGAGCCGATCTACCAGGACAAGCCAAGCAAAGAATTTGATCCTCGAGGTGCAACTTTGATTTCCATACCTCCTTGAAAATTGGGTGTGCCTCCTTTGTCTCGAAAAAATATAAGAGTAAAACCTTTTTGAAGTGTAGGAGTTCCCCCATGTTGGAGTCCAACGATTCCGAGAATGCTCGTCATAGGGTATGTCCTGTAAGTGATTCTGTAACTGCTCAAGTTCCTCCAAGGCCTGTTGCGACAATGGCAGAAAAAACAGTGTATCAAGGTCTTCAGCTTGCATTACATCAAAGACTGATATGCTTTCTGATCTTGAGTAGGAGGCAATTCTTGGGTAAACATGTTTTAGTATAGGACTAGACCACTGATCATCCCAAAAACAAACTGTGGAGCCATCACCAACTGTGCAGCGGGCTACAGTGCGGTACAACGAGCTTAGTCTTAGCACATCCTTCCACCAGAAAGGAGCCAACTTCACGAGCAGCATGCGGCACCTTGTTGGAGTAATATTTGAACCAAACTAGCTGCACCCATGGTACATCCACCTTATTGTAAAACTTATCAAGGTGCTTCAACAACAATGCACCATTCTGAAGGCATAGATTGATGACTCCAAGACCACCTTTATCTTTCGGCAACTGAACCGTTTGCCATGCCACCAAGTTACCGCCTTTCTTCTACTCTGAATTGCCACGCCACAAGCATTGCTTTCGAGCGTGATCAATGTTCTCTATAACACCTTTGGGCAATTTGTTGGTACAGAGGGCATAGGTGGTGATGGGTGTAATTGCTTTGAGTTCAACATTTGAAGCCTACGAATATGATAACCAAAGTTGAGCATGCGATAGATAGGCGCTCTCTATCTTGTCCATCATCGGAGTGAGATCCTCCATACATGGCTTGGTTGTGGCCATGGGCAACCCAAGATACGTAAAAGGCAACGTGCCAACTGAGCAGCCAAAGGTGTTGGCCAAACACTCCATTCTATCCAATGGTACATTGATCGGTAGCATCTGAGACTTTCTATAATTCACTTTGAGACCCGTTGATTCCAAAAAGCTGTTGAGCAGTGCTTTGAGAAAGACTAACTGGCGTGCATCAGCCTACATGATCAATAGCGTGTCATCGGCATACTGAACAATCGGAAAATCATCTGGTTGTGGGATTGGTGCCTTGAGCATATTCATGGTGGCAGCTCTGTTGACTAGAACTTGTAGTAACTCTGCAGCAAGCACAAAAAGCAACGGTGACAAGGGATCGCCTTGACGCACACCTCGTTTGCACTAATGTTTTTTCCTGGGATTCCATTTAGTAGGACTGCAGAAGTGCCTCATCCCAAAATGCTACTGACCCAGTTCAGCCATCTAGCAGGAAAACTCAGATGCTCCATGACCTGAAGGATGACTGAGTGCTCAACGGAGTCAAACGCCTTCTCAAAATCTAGCTTTAGGATGATAGCCTGCCTCCTAGACCAATGACACTGGTGAATATATTCAAAACTCCATGCCAAGCAGTCCTGAATGGTACGTGTTTTTATGAATCCATACTGATTACGGTGAATCAGCCCTATGATAACAGATTGCAGGCGGTCTGCCAGAATTTTGGTAACCAGCTTGGGACTAGAATTCATGAGCGAGATTGGTCTATAATCACTGGCTATTTCAGGGCTATCAATCTTCGGGACGAATGTGATGAAGGATGTGTTAATACATTCAAGACGGGCTGACCCCGATAGAAATCATTACAAAAGCTATAGAAATCACTCCTTATGATGTGCAAGCACTTCTTCATAAATAAGCCGTTGAAACCATCTGGCCCCGGTGCTTTGTCAGTTGGCATACGTTTGACAATGAGATCAATCTCCATCTGTTGAAACGGTTCAGCCAAATCTTGTTGGCCGTCCACTGGTGCTATAAGATTTGCTAGGTCGAAAAGCATAGGCGGATTGGCACTGATATCCATTCGATTTCTGAAAGAGTTCCACAATAATTCAGCTTTTCCTTCTTGATCATGGATCTAAACACCCTGGCCATTCATTATTTGCGAGATGGAATTTCTCCTGTAGGAAATAGTCGCTATACCATGGAAAAAATTTGTGCACTCATCCCCAAGTTTGGTTCTATTGACTGTATATCTCTTCCTCCAATAGAGATTCTTGTAGTGCAAAAGAGCTTTGAGCTGATTCTTGA